GATCCGACAAATTTTTAATTGTTACAATCGACATCTGATTTTTTCTTGCAGTTTGTTACACAGACAGCCGACATTTTTTATCGTTTATTTACACCTGACATCCGATATTTTTTTATCGCTTGCTGCATCCTGCATCCGATATTTTTTATCGCTTATCTTTTCATTGCTTCTGCATCCAACTTTTCTCATCGCTTGTTACATCCGACCTTTTTCTCTACCGCTAGTTACATCCGAATCCTTTTTTCTTTTTTTTTTCTACATCCTGTTACACCCGATTCTTCTTTTAAATATACTGTTACACCCGATTATATTTGCCGATTGACCGATATTCGTTAATATATATACATGTTGTTTTAAGCTGAAATATTCGATTATAAAAGTTATCTCTCAAATATTTAATACAGGGTTTTTTTTTAACAATCTTACTTTCAAGTTTTCCCATTTTTCCTTGTATTATATTGTATTTTTAATACCATGAATCGAGTTCAATCAAAAAGATCAAGAAGATCTAGCTCTTACGCAAGTGTAGCATGTACAAATTGCCAAAGGAAACACGCAAAGTGTTCTGGAGAAATCCCTTGTATAAACTGTGAAGAAAAAAGTCTCATTTGTCAAATTATGCCGGGCAGAAAACGTGGTCCTAAAGAAAAGTCGGTAGAGGTCAATAGACTTGACGTAGCTCAAATTACTGAAAATCAATATATTAAAAGTAACCTTGAAGTTACAGACTATTCCAAAGACTTTTTGCATAATAATTGTAATTTCCATAATGGATTAACTTTAATTCAACCAATGCAACCACACAATTGTAATGTTCCTATAACAAATTATAATTCTTATGATTTGAATTCATTTAATTTTAATGATGGTCAATCATCACTGGAATTCCAACAACAAAATGGATTTCAAGAAGTTATATACGGCATTGTCATTATTCCAGTTAACCTCTCTCAAAGTATCTCATTTAATGGTGACTATAATTTTGAAAATAATTTAATTACCGGAACGTGCCTTCCTAATTATAATCCTCTTTATTCTCTTGAATCTTCAAATTCTTCAAATTTATTTAACAATCAGTCTGTGACAAATATATCAATTTATTATGAATAGCTTTTATTTATTCCTTTTTTTCATGTTTATAATTATTATTACAGTTTTATCTTCATTTTTTTGTTTTCTTTTCTTTTATCACATTCACATTATTGTAAAAAAAAAAAAAAGTATTTTAAAAATAAAACTTAGAATTTCAATAAAATGAGAAAGACATTTTGTGGATGTAGTTTGATTAACGCCGCTTTGGCCATATGTAACAGGAATATGCAGTTCAACAATAAATGCAGGGATGATACACGCATGTATATAAGTGCTTCAGGGTTTGATTTTCAGTGATGAAAACATACCAGAAATATGCTAAGCTACTGGAAACTTTCATATGATTTTTGTGAAAGTTAATAATACAGTATTGCAATAGTAGAAATTTTGAATCGAATGGCTTTATAATAATTCTACGATGATTGAAAATCTTTTTTTTTATTTTCTGCAGCAAATAAAAGTTTAAAGTCAATCCTGTGTATGATTCTTATTGAAATATGATTATCTACAAAGAAATTTTGTCATAATGCGATCGAAAATGTCGGCTGTCTGTGTAACAAACTGCAAGAAAAAATCAGATGTCGATTGTAACAATTAAAAATTTGTCGGATC